TCTTCTTCATTTTCTCTTCTCCACGTGGGAAGCCAAGCAAAGGTGAGTTTTCTCTTGAGCTGATTATGTGCTGAAATTTAAGTTTAGTTTTGATTATTAGATGCTAAGTAAGATTAAGGAAGGATTAATTTGCTTTAAAATAACAAAATGAAGAGTTTATGAGGATTTAAAGATTTGAAGTTTTTGAATGAAATATCGAAATAAAGTTTATATGAGAATTGGAAGTTGAATTTGACTTGTCATCAAGTCAATTAAGGGATAGGAAGTGTTAGAATAGGAATTTGAACATGTTGCAAACTAGTATAATTTTGCAATTACATAGGAATGATGGATTTGAAGTTAAAGAAGTGATTAGGGAATAAGAAGTTTAAGTATGTGTATTAAAGTTAGGAGTATTAAAGGAAGTGAAATAGGAAGGTTTGAGCTGAAAAGGTGATTTTCGAGCTCAAAATGATTTCTGGGCTAGGGGAATCGGTACCCATTCAAGGGGAATCGATTCCCCCTCAAACGAGTATGAATTCCAGAATGCTAGAGGGGAATCGATACCCCCAAGGGGGGGAACCGATTCCCCCATAATGAAAAAAAGAAACAAGAGAGACTAAACTATTAATCCCTTAAATTGGTAGGATATTAGAGGTTAATTTCAAGACTTGGGCATCTGATAATCATCTTGAAAATTATGCTTATGTAGATATGGAACGTGACTTTGTTTCAAAACGAAGGGTTAGAATTGATTCAATTCAAACAAGGCTAAGGTGAGTGCATGCATAACATGATTATGTTAGTATATTCAGTTTTAGAACTGCGATAAGTCTAGATTTAATATCTTGATACATGATTCATTCAATATTATTAAATATGATATGAATTCATACCATATACATTATGGGATATAATGCAGATTGTGGTAAGTCTATGTTCCAGATTATAGCTTATATGAGTGAGTTATGAGATATCTATATTAGGTATGAAGTAAGTGTGCTGTGTTTGTTATGGTTTATATGTATGAATGAGCATATGTATTGACATGTTACAATATATATATATATATATATTATATGAGTTGTGTAAATATGTAGATAAATGTGTTAATATGTGAAATAGTTAAAATGATCAATATGATTTCATAAGAATATGAAATAAGAAGTATGAAAAGGACATAAGAAAGAATATGAAATATACAGAATATGAATATGAAATCATATGAGGGATGACATGTATGTATGTATGTATGTAATGGTTATATGAAAAGGTATAGGTAATAAGATGATCATATGAACATGTGATAAAGAGCTATAGAAAAGAAATGTGATATGATGTATGAATATGTAATAAGGTAAAAGACAATGCCATGAGATGAGTTATGAGAACTGTAAGTATAGTTGGTATGCCAAGAGTTAAAGAACTACCTATGTCTTTCGAGACATATGGATAGTATACCTATGTTCTAAGGAACATATGGATAGTTTACCTAGGTTCTTCGGGACCTATGGATAGTTACCGAGGATCTTTATGACCTCTGGATAGTTACCGAGGATCTTTTTGACCTCTGGATAGTTACCGAGGATCTTTATGACCTCTGGATAGTTACCGAGGATCTTTATGACCTCTGGATAGTTACCGAGGATCTTTATGACCTCTGGATAGGTCCTTCGGAAAATTCATGGAGCTGTGGGGACAGCATACGTGTGCACAATCTCATAATACTCGTATACCTTGGGTTATCAATAGTGTATATGGACTTAAATAAGACATAACGAGGATGTATATAGTTGTATCTTAATATGGTATTTACGATTTGTATTGGCTCATATGTGGTATAATAAATGATGGTATGATAGTAATTGTGTTTGGATAGTAGACGACATGTTTATATTTTAATAATTCTTTATGATGTAATTATGCCTCACTAAGTCTATGACTTAGCGTGTAAGTGTTTTTACACGTAGGTTTCGAAGAGCAGGAGAATCAAGAATAGGAATTTGCAGATCAACCTATCTCTACTCAGCGATCAGATCAGAAGTAAAGTCACAGTAGGTATTTTGTTGTATGTAGTGTGTTGGCATGTAAGAACAGTGTTAGTTCAAATGCTCTGATTAGTTTTGTCTTATTTTGGTTAACTCGTGTGCAGTGACAATGTTATTTTAATCAAAGTTTTAAATTTCATTGGTTTTCGTTAAAAGATTAAAGTTTGAAAAGTCAATGCGACACCTCAGACTTGTATCCGGGTCGGATACGGGTTGAGGGTGTTACACCATTGGCCATGAAGACGACCAACCAATGGGAGACGCAATGATGGAAGAAGCTCCACAAGCTCCAGGTGGAGATGATGTCACAATTAAAACAGTGATGGAATACATGGTCAATTTTCGGGAGCATATTGATTCCCTTGTGAAGGAATGAGAGCCGATATTTCATCATTGCGCGATGAAGTCTCCATCTTGCGTGACGAATTACGTCAATGACATCAAATGAGTTAGGTAATTAATTATTTATGTTTATAAACATTTACACGCTGTGAAATGTATTTTATTTTCTTTTAACAGATGTGGACAACCAAGCGGTCAATGAAGATGACAATGAAGATGATGATGATGAAGACCCAAACAAGTATATCGTGTCTGCAACACCGCCTGCAAGAAAACTTGTAATTTTTTTATGTCAATGGTGTCCTTGCCTACATCCCAAGACATCTAAAAGGTTTTAATTCTATTCATTTGTATCCATTATTTTAACATATAAGCGTACAACTTTAATCTCATTTTCTTCATGTTGTAGATGTTATCCTCAGAACATGATTATAACATATATGCATTTTTGTTGTTGCCATTTGGTCATCCAAGATGAGGTTAGAACTGTTGAGCAATTGAATTACTATAGCCAAAATCGTTAATATACAATTAAATGTTAACATTCAAACTTGATTATAATCTCAGGCATAACATCGATCGTGTACTTGAGAAACTACCTTTGTTCTCTGACCAGTTTCTATTCGTTTGGGTAAGATGAATGTCATTATACTTTACTGAGTTTAATTTGTCTATGATTCCTATATATTTATGTTCAACTGTTTGTAAACAGGATCAACGAAAGTGCAAAACAGAAGATAATGTGACCTACTATAAAGATCTCAATGATGTTTGGAATGAGTATCCTGATTTTAACGCCCTAAATACACTGTTCGTCGATGATTCAATGTGAAAAATGATTTATAATCCGGTAAATTATATTTATGCCATATTTTTCCAGTTAAACAGGTGTTCATAAATTGATTGATTAACAATTTATGTTTTTATATAGATAAACAATTAAATATGTCCACATCCCTTCGACGATGCTTCCCATTCGGACGACGATGCTCTAGGTATGACACAAATTTATTCCTGATTATGCTAATTTAGTTTCTTGTTAGTAAAATTGTACCTGATTAGTTTGATAATTGAAATTATTTATATATGTCCTCAGAAAAAGGTGGTAACATACGAGAGTATTTGGAAAATTTGTTGAAGGCGCCTAATATTTCGGACTTCATTAGCAATAACCCTTTTTCATTGGATTAATTTCGTTGTGGGTACATTATTTGAACATTGTTATGTATAAATTTGTTGTGTATGTATGTTTTGGTTTGATTATATTGTTAGTATACCTTCATTCGATTCAAAAATACTGAAACATATAACACAGTAACTGTGTCTTTTAATATTGCACAGTATAACATGTGACTTATATAGTAAATATTCAATTCGGATGGGTTGTGCATAACAAAACAATCTATCTCTTCCATGTGAGTACTTTATTCCCATGTGATAAGAGGGACAACCCCATCAACTCACAACTCAGCTTTGAACTGAATCAATATTTTCTTTTACTCACTTAATGGTTCATAATGCATGTTACTTAAACAATATCAGACAATTATGCAATTTCCATGTTCAATTTAACACTACATTTCATATTTAACCAAAGGCTATATTTAAATTTCAATTTGAGTTTGAATTTCAATATAAATTTCGGCTCCACTATAAATATTAGCCCGAGCCTTTGTTCCATCCAAACAACAATTTACTCAATAGAAGCATGGGAGGTAATATCAAATTCCATTTCTAAGGTAACAACTTACCTTTTTCAAAACTTATTAACTTAGACAATATGCATGTTATCATTGATTATTCCTAATTTCCATTGTTTTTTTCACCTTTAAACGCGAGGGAAATCCCGACCATCGTAATTTTTGGTTAACAAGCAGGAAGATTGAATATCCGAAGAATAAATTTCGGATGCTATCCATTTCAGGCATCTCATTCAGATAGGTTAACCCTAAACCAAAACTATCTTAGCCAAACATACTTGATGTAGAAGCAGCTGCAGATTTAAAATGTCAACAGTGATGCATTTGGTTCTCAAACAGTTAAAGCGTCAGAAACGTTTTGGACATATGATATGGGTGGTATATGGGAAATGCAACAAATGGCAACTAAAAATCCCGATAATTGAGGGCTGTAACTTGTAATAATAACAAAAATAATTGAAGGGTACACATGTATAAACTATCGATACTTTGCTAAATTAATAATGTAAACGGTAAAATTCTACCGGTGCAATGATAATAGGCGTACATGACAAGCGTCTCAACTTGTCATTTACAATTATTTTCATTATACCGGAGAATTTTTATCCGTTTACATTGTTAAATATACCGGGGTTTATTCTTTACGTGTGTATCTTCCATTATTTAATATTATTATTAAAAGCTCTAGCGTTTAATTCTCGAGAATTTTTAGATGCATTTTGTTACATTACCCGTGTACCACCCAAATCATAAGTCCGAAATGCTTCTGATGCTTTAAATGTTTGAGAACCAAATGGATCGCCTTTGAGATTTTAAATATGCATATACTTCTACATCAGTTATGTTTCTCTCAGACGGTTTTGGTTTACGGTTATCCTATCTTCATGAGCTGGATGAAATGGATAGTATTCGGAAGACATTCTTCGCATATTAAATCATTCCTTCTTGTTACTCAAAATTATGATGGTCGGGATTTCCCTCGCATTTCATTTAGGTTGATTGCTCTGAATATATAACGACATTTGATCTTTGAATCATTGTTGGTTGATTGGTCAGACTTTTATATCCATATTTGCTTCTCTGTATACCAAGACATTAGAGTGTTGTTGAAATATCAATACTAGTTATTAATGTATTTTCTATCTGCGTGCAAATGTATCTAAACACATTATTAAAGAATCGTTGTCTATAATCTCCACAACAAAGTTTCCAATCTTAGAATTTCTAAATCGATTAAATTTTGAGAAAACGGTAAAAAAATTAAACAATCGATTAAATATAACATATTTAAAATGGACACAACCAGTTTCTCTAATTTCGTCTATAAAGTGTCAGTAACTTATAAACATGTATCGATACATAAAGTTTCAAAACATAAAGTTTCCAACAAAGTGTCGATACATTTATTAACCGTATCGATCCTAAAAACATCGAAACATATTATTATAAAGTAATAGGTAAAATATACCGGTTTAATGAGAGAATAGGTAAACAAAAGTGTCGATACATTTATTAAAAGTATCGATCCAAAAACATCGAAACAAATAATTATAATGTACTAGGTAAATTTCCAATGTAACCGGTAGAAATATAACAGTTAATTAGAAAATATGTCTACATAATGTATCAATACTTTTTAAATTTGTGTCGATACGTTTTGTCCAGAATGAATGTCAAACGGGGTGCACGCATAAAGTGTCGATACATTTATTAAAAGTATCGATCCCAAAAATATCGAAACATATAATTATAATGTAATAGGTAATTTTCTAATGTAACCGGTAGAAATATACCAATTAATTAGAAAACAGGTCTACATAATGTATCGACACTTCTTAAATTTGTGTCGATACTTTTTTGTCCAGAATGAATGCCAAACGGGGTGCACTCATAAAGTGTCGATACATTTATTAAAAGTATCGATCCCAAAAACATCGAAACAGATAATTATAATGTAATACGTAAATCCCCAATGTAACCGGTAGATATATACCGGTTTAATTAGAAAACAGGTAAACATAATGTATCGACACTTTTTAAATTGTGTCGATACTTTTTGTCCAGAATGAATGCCCAACCGAGGTGCACGCATAAAGTGTCGATACATTTATTAAAAGTAGCGATCCCAAAAACATCGAAATAGATAATTATAATGTAATAGGTAAATTTCCAATGTAACTGGTAGAAATATACCGGTTAATTAGAAAATAGGTCTACATAATGTATCGACACTTTTAAATTTTTGTCGATACTTTTTTTCCAGAATGAATGCCAAAGGGGGTGTATGCATAAAGTGTCGATACATTTTAAAATGTATCGATCCCAAAAACATCAAAACCGATAATTACAATGTAATAGGTAAATTAACAATGTAACTAGGATACCACCGCAGACGTGGCCCAGTTGGCAAAGCAAGGGCTCTTGGGATTATGAGTTGGTCTCATATCCTAGGTTCGAACCGCGCTGGCTGGGAATCCTGAAAAAAGCGGGGGGACAGAGTGTTGGGTTCTTTGAGCCCCTCCGGAGGTTGTCTTGTAGGGTCGGGTTCTTTAGTCTGGCCTTGGGAGGTCCTACGTTATAAAAATAATAATGTAACCGGTACAAATTTACCGGTTTTATGAGAAAATATGTCTATATAATGTATCGACACTTTTTAAATTTGTATCGATATTTTTTTAAAATAACGCGTGTTTTTTCCTTCATTATGTATATGTTATCAACGTTATACAAACCCTAAATCGAGAGAACTCTTCCACTACAAATACTAGCGTTCATAACAGTTATGATCAGTTCTTCATGTAAATTTATCGATATTATGGTATTCAAATTAGGTTTTGATTGATTTCCAGATTGAACACTTTTTTCCCTTCATGTGTTCGATAGGTATGATGTCAAAACCCTAATTTTTTAGAAGGTTAGTCTTCAAAAAGAGGGGTTAGGTTTTAAAGTGTGTTGTTTTTAAATGGTTATAGGTTGAAAGTTCAATCTTTGTTCGCGAAGATGATGACCTTCAAATGGAGCCCCAGCGTATCAACATTGAAGAAAATCGAAAGCGACCAGTAAGTATCATTGTATTCATGTAATTGTTCTTGAAATGGTAATTGGATTAAAGTATTTAATAACTTTTAATTGATTCAAATTTCTACAGTCTGACGGAATGCCAAAGGATAAAGGAAGCTCATAATCATGTTGACTGCATAGCCAATAAAACCCCCTTGTAGGGTCCAAATGGTAAACTAAGAATTGGTAAGGTAAGCTTTCTTTGAGGGTTTAGGGTTTAGAGTCCTCCAACATAAGGAGTACATGATTGAACATTAAATATAATAGTTGTATTTAGTTGTTAAAGAATTGTTCTTAATTTTACATAAGGATAGTTGTAATGATATACGTTCACGTTTCGGGACCAATTAGTTAGATGCATGTAGTACCCTATATCCTTGAGGCAGAGCACAAGAAATCTGGCACTTAAAGATTTACCAAGAGCGATAACTTTTGCTTTGTATGAGACCGAACCTAGAATCAACTTTGCAATTATGCCTATACCGCTGAAGAGAACCTGCTGAATGATAGGATTTGCACAGAACTGCAAGTATTTTATGGGAAATCCTGAGATATCTGTTGCATAATTTTAGCAGATTAGTTAGGTTTAAGGTTTAAAATGCTTACAATTATGTGCAAATCCTATCATTCAACAGGTTCTCTTCAACATGATAGACATAATCGCAAAGTTGATTCTAGGTTCGATCTTCATGCAGAGCAAAAGCAACCGGCCTTGGTAAATCTTTAAGTGCCAGATTTCTTGTGCTCTGCCTCGAGAATATAGGGTACTGCATGCATCTAACTAATTGGTCTCGAAACGTGAACGTATATCATTACAACTATCCTTATATAAAATTAAGAACAATTCTTTAACAACTGAATAAAACTATTATATGTAATGTTCAATCATGCACTCTTTATTTAGAGGACTCTAAACCATAAACCCTCAAAGGAAGCTTACCTTACCAATTCTTAGCTTACCATTTGGACCCCTAGGTTTTATTGGATATGCAGTCAACATGATTAACCTGGATAATCCCAGTTACAGAACTGATTCCGACCATGATTTGTGGGAGACTCTAGTGTACAGATTATTTGGCATTTATGTGATGATGCGGATGAAATATTAAACGATATCGTAAGCCATAATAAAAATAGACTAAGAAATGAAATTTTGTTAATGTAGGGGAAATTTTGTATACGATTCATAATTTTGTATATGATTTATAATTTTGTATGTGAATGTAATTATGTATGAGATGAGAAAAGTTAGCAATAGGTTGTTGTACATGTTTCTTATACACAATAGGAGTCATGTTGATACTTACGATATATGGAGATTGTTGTTATCATGTTTCTTCGAAAAAATCAGTTGATGTAGGCCGTGTGATTGTATTCAAACTGAGTTTGACTTGAGGATATGTTAGTTTGTTATGCCCCTCACCATTGCAGTACCCACATCACCTAATTTTCTTCTTGACCTTGTTCTTTGGTACTTCTTTTCGCTTGTGTTGTTTTCATTGAGGGTCGCGAACATTTTTTACTACACTGCTTTGGTTGACTGAATCATTCAAACCAAACGAGTTTTCAAATTCTTCTGTTAGTATTTTCATCTCATCTCTTGCGGTTTTGAAAGATACATCTGTCTTTGATGCAATATAGCATAAGCTACTTGATATTGCACGTAGAGCAGCGAACCTTGCCATTTGCATTACTTCTGGAGGCACATTCAGGTCAACAAAACTGGGCGCAGAAGGCTTCGCATCCTTAGTTCACCTACTTTGAATCAAAGTCCCAGGCAAATATGTGTAATCCAAGTGCTTCAAAATGTGAAGTTGATGGCGACACAGAAGTCCGACGATCTCGAATTTTTTGTAGGAGTAATTTAGGGTTTCCGTACGAGAATCAAAACTAATTTCAAATGTCCTATTTTTTTCTTTGTACTTTGTCAAAATATAATTTTGAAATTCATCTGATAATGACTGATTCTCTTCCTGAATCCGGTACAATGTCTCCCTTTTAAGTTCATCTTGGAACGCACGAAAAGATTCACGTGTATAAATCTCAGCAGGATGGCTTTCAAGGTCGACCAGTTTTGTGATCTGGAAGGGCTTCGTCTGGGAACTTAAGTAATCAGCTTTCAACTCGTTCATACGTATTCTACTAATTCCATCTTCAATTGAACGAACAACATCTAAATATGTCTTATTGTGTTTCGGTGCAATCGCGAGTGAAGCATTCATAGACTCACACCTTTGTGTTGAGCGAATATTTGCAAAGAAATGATCGGTTAGATATGCTTGTTCCCATAAGTGCAAAGTATTTTCCTTCTCAATCACCAATGGATGCTTTTCGACGTTGAATTCTGAAACAACCGAAAGCCATTGAATATCAAATTCTTCGGTTGTCCACCAGGAAGCCATGCATTTTGAGAATGTTGCTGTAAATTTTGGGTCACCAATATTAGCTTGTGCATTGCGAGAAAGATGCCAAGAATATAATTTGTGCTTAGCATAAGGGATAATAGATTTGATAGCCCTCTGCATTGCCCTATCTCCATCGGTGACAATTGAAATAGGCGATTTATTCATCATGGCTTCTAAAAAATTCTGTAGCACCCACTCGAAAGATTGAGACGTCTCGTTAGCGATTATGGTAGTGGCAAACAAAATTGTGTTATAGTGATGATTGACACCGACAATAGACATAATTGGTCGACCATACAAATTATCTTTGTATGCTGCGTCGAACGTAATTACATCACCGAAGCATGTGTAATCTGATATCGATGTAGAATCTGACCAAATAAGATTATGCAATGCCCTTGATTCATCTACCAAGTATGTCATAATCCACATCGACGATTTCCTTTGCTTTACCTCTTTGAAGTGCATTATAGAGGTCTTTATGTG